CTCTTCTGGTGATGAAGCAGACATGTAAGCAGAGCATTGTAAACACAATAAATAAATCTTTAAAAAAGAAAGAAAGAAAGAAAGTACACTTGGAAGGACTGTTTCCTTCTTTCTACTGAAGAAAGTCCTTAAAAACTGAAATAAAGATGCTGAAGTATAACTCTTCACAGTTGATGGCTTCTAGCAGATATGGAGTGGGGATGGTAAAGACTCGGTTTTCTTTAAGGGTTAGACACTGGGAGTTTGACCATGCTCCACTGAGTGTTTGGGTAACACAAATTGGACTTAGTGTAGTTTTCTTTAGTGGGGGATACAAGAGTGGGAGGGTAGACCTGGAAGGAATAGTAAGCAAATGTGACCAGGGTGCATTGTACCAAATTTCCAAGTAATTAATAAAAGTATTATGTTGGGGAAAAAAACAAGTGCAATTGGCATCTATTGCAAGACTTTTCTCCTTGAAGGAGACTAGGCAGTGTCTGCCCCCTCCCTTCCAAAGCCCCAATGGCAAACCAAAGTTCAGTTCCACCAAAGCTACTCCTAGGGAACCAATAAGTTTATTGGGTTTACTTACAGAGCATGGGTGAGAGATCATTTGGGGCAGGAGCATGGGTATCTCTAAAGCAGCCACACTCAAGGTAGACACTGAGCAGAGGTAATGACTTCCTCATGGAGTCCATTTCCCCTAGTCATCCCCAGCCTATATACTCCTGTGCCACCTCAACACCCCAAAACTACATTCAGTTAGGGGAGAATTGCATACAGTTGGTTGGGAGGAGTGGTTGGTATCATTAATTTTTTGTCAAGTTGACACAAACTAGAATATTTGGAAAGAGGGGAACTTTATTGAGGGAGTACCCTTACCAGACTGCCTATAGTCAAGTCTGTCATTTATTTATTGATTTATTTATTATTAATGATTGATGTGGGAAGGCCCAGCTCACTTTGGGCAATGATTCCCTTAGGAAAGTGGTCCAGGGTATATAATAAGGCAGGCTGAGCAGGCCATGGGGAGCAAGCCAATGAGCAGAGTTCTTCAGTGGCTCTACTTCAGATTCTGCCTCTAGGTTCCTGCCTAGCTTCAGTGATGGACTTTAAATTGTAAGACTGAAATGAACCCTTTGCTCCCTAAGTTGCTTTTGGTCATGGTGTTTGTAGCAGCCACAGGAACCTGACTGGGACAGTTAGATCACTCTAGTGAGAATCTCCTGACCCTCCTGAACCTGTTGAGGAAGTGTCAACAGTAAAGAAACCCAACTGTCATGCTTTGCCGAGCAGGTACAGACCAACTCAGGAAGATGTGGTTGTTTGGCTTGAAGGATGGTGCTGTGTTTTTACTGATCCTCAAATTATTGAGGTTTGGCCAGCAGGGGTAAAAACAACTGTATATGTCAAAATATAGATAGATAGGTAGATCAATTATTTGAATGATTGGTTGGTTAACTGACTGAGTAATAGACCTCAACCAGGGCAGATTTTGTCCCCTATGGAGGAAGTTTGGCAGCGTTTCCTGCTATTCTGGGTCTTCACAACTTAGGTGGGGGCGGTATTATGATAAAGTTTTTCTGACATTTCTTGGTTTGAGGCCACAGGTGCTACTGAACATCATACAGTGTATTAGAATTATCTGGTCCAAAATATCAATATTACTAAGCTTGAGAAATGTCTGTGAACCCATAGATGATAAAGTACACATAAGACCATACTGACACTGGGATGAAGGATGCATGGGTGTTGAGACTTTGAAACTCTTCTATAAATCTGAAATACAATCTATGGCTGCTGAGAGGAGGAAGTCAGTCTTCTCCAGGGATGGGCTCCCTGTTAGGTTACCTAATCCCAACTGATAAGTCCTAAACACATGTACATCACAGCCACATTAAATGGGTTCAATATATTGCTACCCAGCAACCGAAGACTTTGAATGGCAGTGAACCCTACCTGGAGATAGATGTTGACCCATGGAGTCGATGTCATTCACTTCTTTGTGCATTACAGAAGCAGGAAGAAAAGTGTATCTATGTTCAGTTGGTAGTTTTCATGAGCCAGAGGTTGTGATAAGTTTTAGGGATTTTAAAAATTAAAACACTTGGTCAGTTAACCTCAGTTGTTTGGTATGTCAATGATTCTTTTCTGTGTAAACTAGCAACACCAAAAATTAGTGGATTAAAACAATGACTTAGCATTTCTCAAGGTGTGTGTGTGTGTGTGTGTGTGTGTGTGTGTGCATGTTCTTGTGGAAGCCAGATGTTGATATTGAGTTTCTTCCTTAAAGTTTCCACCTTTTTTTTTTTTTTTTTTTTTTTTTTTTTGAGACAGAGTCTCTCTCTGCACCTGGAGCTCACCAGTTCAGCTAGATGAGATGGATGGACAGCAGCTCAGGCATCCCTTTGTTTCTGCCTCCCTAGTGCTGAGATTACTGGTGCACACTGCTACACCCGGCTTTTCTATATGGCTGCTGAGGCTCCAAGTTCAGGTCTTTTACATTGCAAGCACTTTCCCACTGAGCTATCTCCCTGATGGGAGATGTCATTCTGTAAATGTGTTTCTCTTATTGGTTAATGAATAAATCCCTGTTGGCCAATAGGAAAGGAAGATAGGCGGGACTAGGAGACAAGGAGGATTCAGGGAGAGGTAGGAAGAGATTCACAATGTAGAGACTTGAAAGAACAGAGGTCCCGACCCTCTCTCTGGTAAGATAAGACCACGTGGAAATACTTAGACTGATAGAGATGGGTTAATATTTAAGACTGAGCTGGCCAATAAGAAATGCTAGTAACAGGCCAACAGCTTTATATCTAATACAGCATCTCTGTGTGTTATTTGGGGCTGGCACAGCTGTGGGACCAGGCTGGTGGGAAAACTACTCATGACATCTCCCCAGATTGATTTTGTGTACCTTCTGTGCTCGTTGAATAGTTCTTCTACTCCATGTGCTGTTCAGTCGCCCACATTGTTGTAAGCTGGGAGCTTAGCTGGTCCAGGAGAGTATGAATCACAATTCTTGCTGTTGGTTACAGTTATTGGCTGGGGTCATTGTATCATGCTCTGGAACCTCTGGCCATGCAATCTCTCCAACAGGAGAGCCTGGTTGCTGGCTCCCTATGGAGTAATAAATCAAGGCAGTACGGTTTGTTATGTGCTATTGGGAAAAGCAAACTATGGAGTCAATTCAGATCCAGAGACAGGTGAACAGACTCCACCTGTTTATGGGAGGAATGGGGTGGGAACACCAGAAGGGAAGGGACTGTGGTAGCAGTATTTGTAAATGGCCTATCCCCCTCACTGTCCATCTTCAGTCAGAAGAACAGGGGCTTCAAGCTGCGAGGCTCCTTGACTGTTAGCTAATTCAGGCTGTGGTCTGCATGTTTGGGTCTCCCTCAGACAGAATCACCAAGGACATGGTTTGAGATATTAGCCTTAGGGGTTGATTACGTCATGAAGCCCTGATAAATGGACTTTGATCTTATGAAGTAAACCCAAAAATGTTCTATCCCTGAACACTCAAGGTATAATCTATGAACCAGAAATTGGGAGCACTCTAGCAATCAAATACACCAGTGCCATGATCTTTAATTTCTTGGCCTACACACACACACACATACACACACACACACTATCACAAATGGTCCAGCACCCACATTACAGCTACAACAATATGTAACTCTAGTCTTGGGATCCACTGGCTTCAGGCACCAGGCACACATGTGCAGGCAAAACACTCATACATATTTAACACAAACAAGCTAAGCACTGGGAAGTTAAGCTACTGACCAGTGCACCCAGTAGAGGAGCCAGGCTTAGAACCTGAACTGCCTTGGTTGGTGTCATCAGATGACATACATCATACACAGATAGTGCCCCCTCTAGTGGAGGATGCCTCTCTGGAGAGTCTATGACACAAGGTTGGCACAGAAGGAAGAGTCTGTTGCCTTCTTTGGTTCTGTCTGCTAACTCCCTCCCTATTCCTGGGCTAGTCACCAAGAATTTTTATTTGGTATGTTTGGTATTTGACCACATTGACCAGCACTAACCTGGCAAGCCCTCCTTATCACTGTCTCTTCTATGTATTCTGAGCATGATATGATGCTCAGTTTTACAATATGCATGAGAAACAGCTGCCCCCACTTCAGAGAATGTTAAAAAATGAAGTCCAACATGCTTATGGAATGTGTTAGAGTAGCCCGCCATATTCTTGTGGCTTCTCCTAAGACCCTCAAACAGTTGCTGCAATGGGAAATGTTAGTTTGACTTGAAATGCAGTAAATGATAAATACCCCTCAATGTAGCCATGAACCCGAAAATAATTAAGAGGTTCCATTTTCCCACATTATTAGGATGCTATTTTGGATTACTTGCACCTGCTGGGTGGAGAAGAGATATTTATTTTGCATCAAAGAATGTATTTGCTATCTAGTATAGTTCTGAAATTTCCCCAACTCCCATGGGAAATAGCTGGCTTTCCTTGAGGACTGAGGTAAATGATGAGGATAATTATTTGATTTGTAACTTCTTGAAGGTCACAGATTTCCAAAGATGTAGAAAAAACCTTCCATTCATTCCTGCTGGACTATGGGTTAATAAAATATTGGTTTTTATTATTATAGCACTTAGTATATTTAAAAATTAAAATCATACTTTATTTCTAAGGAGAATTTGGAAAGCACAAAACAAAAGATGAAATCAGAGCTTTCAGGTACTTGTCTTTTGGTTGAAACCACTTGTAAGGTTTGGCCTGGGTTCAGTGCAGAGCACTTTCCCCGCACCCTCAAAACCAAACACTAAAGCCCACTATTGACAGTGTTAACATCCACCCTTCCCATCCGAAAGAATGATCAGGCAATCTGTAGATTGGAATGCATACATTTACACAATTTTGTGTGTGAGTGTAATATATTTTCTTTAAAAAATAAAGCAACTTTGCAAATGATTTTATGTATGTGCTGTGTCTAAATGTCGTATAAACATGTTTCTGTCACTAAACATTCTACTTGCATTGACAGGACAGTGATATTGAAGCCTTGGTTGGGTGTTTGGAAAATGTCCTGGGTTGTACCTCTCTAGGTAAGTCAGCTTCTTCAAATTCCAAACTCTAGTTATCTTTTTGTTTCTACTAGAATAGCCAAGAAGTAGAAAGCTTTGCAGGAACCTCACAGATGCTCTGGTCCACATTCTGCATTTTACAGAGGAGGAGGCTGAGGCTGAGGCTAATAGAGATGGAAAGGTCTGGCATAACAGCTAGGACACTCAAGGCAGAAACCTTTATTATTGTTACAAGCGACTTCCAGTCTCCAAGGATGAAGAAAATGATGCTTCGTAGTCCTTTCTGATCAAAGTGGTAGTTGGGGGCTGGGTGTTGTTGGCACACACCTTTAATCCCAGCACATAGGAGGCAGAGGTAGGCAAATCTCTGTGAGTTTGAGGCCAGCCTGGTCTACAGAGCGAGTTCCAGGACAGGCTCCAAGACAATACAGAGAAAACCTGTCTCGAAAAACCAATAATAATAATAATAATAACAATAATAATAATAATAAAGGTAGCCAGGCAGTGAACAAATAGGCTTAAAGTCCCTGGAAAAGGAATCTCCCTGTCCAGTGGGTCCTACCAAAACAAATTACTCTCAGTGAAGCTGAAAGGCCTGCCACTCTGAAGGTCAGTCAGTTCTTGGAAGAGATTTGGTCTGAAAAACAAAGCTGAAATGTCTTTGCATTGTCAGTCTCTATAAATGGGATTTCTGTGCTTCAATGATAAAGCCCTATTTTTTTTTTTTTTTGCTTCTTCATTTTTTTAATCCAAAAAGCCCAGCTGTGATAACTTTCAGCATTCCACAATAGATTTTTTCACACAAGAGTTCTTAAAGATCCTAGATGAAAACGACTGAGGTTTTTTTCTTTCAAATTTTGAGTGAATGTTTTAGGAATTTTAATTATAAAAACAAAAGCAATATAGTCAAAGGAGACGGCAAGAATATAGAGATCATCAATGGCATTTTTCTGTAGGGAAACAGTCACTACTCTTTGTTAGGAGTTTTCACCAATCCTTCCTCACCCACACCCTGCTCTAAGGATTGGTTGACAATGTGAATAAAGAACAATGGACATTAAGTGACAAACGCTCTGGATTCAGGGACACAAAAGACATGCATCATTTACCCACATCACAGATGTGATGAAAACAGAAGGAAGCTCAATGTTGAATAATAAAAACCCCAAACACCACTTCACTTACCTACTTCATCCATGCTGATGGGTCTATTCAGAGGACATCACCCAGGGCATTTACCAGACTAAGATTCTTATGAATGTGGATATCCTCCCAACAAAATGGCAAAGACCAGACCTGCCAGTTGATAATACCAAATTTACAGAAAGGGCTCAACTTGGCTTGTAATGTTTAACACGTAGATTTGAACAGATAGCCAGATGGAACATGTATCTCCCTTATATCACACATGTGTAATGTTCCTCATGTCTAACCAAACAGAGAAAGATCAAGATAGAAATAAGTAAAAGCCACAGAAAACACATTATAAGGAAGAAAGGAAAATTATCCTATCACTAAATTCTTAAAATATGTTAGAGAATCTTACAGAAACAAATGAAAAGGAATATCCATAAAATAATACAAAGTCATGAAAATTAAAATAAAAAAGCATGATGGAAAATTCACTAGAATTAAGAATAATTTCCAGAGTGAAACAAGCAATAAGAAAAAAAAATCAATCAAAGTGATTTAGAATTTAATTAAAGAAATTTCAGGATGAACAGAAAAGAAGAAATTGATAGGTCTAGAGAGAATAAGACAGAACATGTATAAAATATCAGGAAAAATAATGTTTTCTTAGTTTCTCAATAATACGAGGGGCTAGAAGATAATAAAATTTGAACCTAGATTTTTTCCATATCTTCTCAACCATGAATCAAGTACCGATCTAAAAAAAGAAAAAACTATCCAAACCAATACCATCAAGCAAGAGAGAGGAAATTGAGCCACTTTCAAACATACAACTTCAGAAAGTATGTCTCAAAAACACCTGTGTCTCATGACTTCTCTTAGGAAGTTCTTAGAAGTCATGCTGTATGAAAACGTGGCAGTTGATCAAGAAGGAGTGAGACAGGGGCTACACGTGATGCGGATAAACACAGAAGATGACAAGGGCTTCAGGATGTGATAGTAAAGGAAGGTCTCTGAATGGCAACGGGGCAACAGGCCTGGAGAACAATCCATTCAAACTTGGCTGGGCCAGGGGACTTCAAGGATGAATGGGGTATGCCAAAGAGATGTGGAACTAATGATAACCCACTGAATCCAGCTATTGTGAGAGTTTGGAGAAGGATTAGAGTTTCTTTGAAAAGTTTAGGGATGGATTAGAGAGAAACAACCAGAAAGGAAAAAAAAAAAAAAAAAAAAAAGCAATGTAAAAATACCCAGGCAATTATCAACTCCTGGAAAAACAAACAAAAGCTCAGAAAGGAAATGTAGCCTACATACATTGTGTGTATGGCATTTGTTTGGTCATAATGATTTAAAGATCTGATTATTTGTAGTGTAACTATATTGGCAAGGTAGAGGAAAGAGAGAGAAAAGAGAAGGGAGGAGCAAGAGAGTGGAACAGGGAGAGAGATGGACAGAGACAGGAACAACAAAACAAAATTCAAATTCCCCAAGAAGGTCATAGATAGTGTAAAAATATGAAACTAAAATAGAGTTGTATACACATGTGATACAGAAAAAGAGCAAGTAATAAAAAAAAATTAGCAAAAATGTTGAATGTAGTTGATTTGGAGAAGTGGAACAGTTAGGAAATGTATTTTCTTTAAATTGTTGATTTTTTACTTTAAAAAGTACTGTGTAAATGATTTTATATAAGTTAACTTTTATTTTTTAATTATTTTATGTGTATGGATATTTGGCCTACATGTATGTCTGTGTACTGTGTGTGCCTGGTGTCCACCGAGGCCAGAAGGGGTGTCAGATCACCCAGAGCTAGAGTTAGGGATAGTGTGAGCAGCCATGTGTGGGTGCTGGGAATCAAACCCTGGTCCTCTGCAAGAGCAGCCAGTGCTCTAAACCATGGAGGGACATAGGAATAAGCTTGAGCCTGCAGGTATCCCATTGATACACTGATTACATTTCTTTTGACTATACACCCAGATGTGAAATAGCTGGACCATAACCATTTTTAGTTTTTTGAAGTACTTTCTTACTATTCCCCATAACAGCTATAGTAATTTACATAAACACATACAATTAAAATCATCATCAGTTGGAAAGTAGAGATAAATTCTGTTTCTTTCCTCTAGTGAACTTACTCTTAAGCCTGGAGTAAGACATTTGGACACCTTGATTGTGAAGATTAATGTAAGCTTAGATGTGTTTGTTTGTTTGTTTGTTTGTGAAAGGGTCTGTCTGTGTAGTCCTGGTTTTCCTGGAACTTGCTATGTAGAGCAGGCAAGCCTGGAACTCACAGGGATCACCTAAACTTCTTGTTTAGGCTAGATTGCTAAAGAAAAGCTGCATACACTATGAAGTTCTAATAGCCCTTTTCCAGGTTCTCCAATTACAAGACTGAACAAGGGCATCAAGGTTGGATGACCCTGCATTAGGTGTTCCTGCCCTGGCACCTGCAGAGAATGCTTATAAAGCATTTAAGGGTTGGCCACAAACAGACTGATAAACTGCTTGCTACCTAAAATTACTTCTCATCACAGGCAACTTCCTTGTGTATCTATGCATGTGTGTTTGGTTATGGTGTGTCTCTGCTGTTGTGATACAACACTGACTAAAACAACCTGGGGGGAAAATGGCTTACTTGTATTACAGGTCCTGATTATAGTCTACCATTGAGGGAAGCCGAGCAGGAAATAAAGCAGGAGCAGGCAGGAACCATGGAGAAAAGCTATTTATTGGCTAGCTTTCATGTTCATGGTCATCTGGCTTTCTCTTTTTTAATAAATAAGTAATTAAAATATAATTACATGATTTCCCCTCTTTCCTTCCTCCTTCCAATACCTCTTTACCCACTCCCACTCTCCCTCAAAGGCATGGCCTTTTTTTCTTCAGTCAGCCACATACAAGTACAAACGTATAAATATGCAAATATAATCCGCTGAGTCTGCTGAGTGTTGCTTGAATGTATATGGTTTTAAGTCAGACCACTTGGTATTGGATAACTAATTAGGGGGTGCAGTGAAATAAGACCCTTCCATGTTATCATATCTATTGGCATTGTCATTGTTCAGGTCTTATTTAGGCAAATAAATACAGGTATCATAGATGTAGTTTCCCTGTCTTTATGAGCCATTCTTGACTTTCTAGTCCTCTGGCCTTACAATCTTTGCCCCAGGACCATCTGCCCCAGGAGGCACTGCCCAGAGTGAACTGAACTCTCCCACATCAATCAACCTTCAACAATGCCACACAGACATGCCTGCAAGCCAGTCTGACATAGGCTTTTGCTCAATTGGGTTTCCTTTTTCCCGGGTGTGCCAAGCTGACAGTGGAGATTATCCATCACAGTGTATGTATGTGTGGTATATGCATAGACATGTGTGTGAGGTCAGAGGAGCCTTGGGCTATCCTCCTCTGTCCTATTCCTTTGAGCCAGGGTCTCTCACTAAATCTCGATCTGGGCTGGCAAACAGTGAGCCCTCAACAATTCTCCCATCTCTTACCCCAATAGCTATGGGGTTACAGGCATGTGTTCATGTGGGGGCTTACACAGTAAGCACTCGTGTGCACTGAGGAATTTCTCTACCCCACACCTAGAAACTAATGACACCTTAGTCTGTTGATCATTGGATATTACTCATAAGGGAAGGGGCTTTGAGTTATAGCTACAGGTACGTAGATGATGGGAACATGTGCTTCTAAAACAACCAGTCCATGGAGGAAGCTCACAGGATGACCCTCATTAAATATAAGAAACTGGCTACTTTCAGGACTTTGAGCACTTCTCTGTTGCCATAGAAACAAGGAAAGCAGTCTCTTCTTTGGCCTTGTAGTGGGTGTGAACCCAAGATTGCTCAGGTTGTTATTTGTTTTGCTCTGACTACTACAGCTTG